CTATCAGCTGCTGTAAATACCTGTTTGTTTAACAGAATCCTGAATTCTCTGTTCAGGTGGTGGTGGTTTCAAAACCCCCACGAACGACCCGCAGCACATGGGGCAGAGCTGCTCATCTGCCTCAGGAAGCCATTTGGCAGTCTTGGCACTCGGATGCACCTGCTTCCAGCCCCTTTCCCTGCATGTTCTCATTCCCCAAGTTCCTTTCTGCCCTTCCACACTTTTCCCTCTGCTCAGCCCTCAGCCCAGCCCTGCCCTGGGCTGCAGGGCTCAGGTGTGGGTGCCTCTCCTTGTTCCCTCAGAGGATTCCAGGAATGGTCATTCCTCTGGTACAATCCTTCACTGGATTCTGCTGATATATCTTTATGGATTTTTATTTATTCTTTCATTATTAATAGCCAAAAGTAGGACCAACTTCTAGTACTCATAGCACATTCTGTTCTGCTTTGTCATCACTGGGAAAGATGCAGCACATGTGCATCCATGAGACATTAGGACAAACTCTGGAATTACTGCTGAGACCCCACAGATGTTTGAAGGAAAAGGGGGTCTGGGGTCTACAGCAACTTACTTATGGGGTGTTTGTGCCTGGATTTTCACAAATTCTGTCATAACACCATTGTTGTTTACATATGTCATGTTTCTGTGTGTTTCCTCCTCCCCAGAGTGCATCCAGACTACCAGCAGTGCTGCATTCCTGAACTCATTCCTGGACAGAGGTAAGGAGCCCCTGGGGCTGCTCCCCCTGCCAGGTGCCAGCACAGTGCCCAGGACTGACCCAGGTCCTCCCTGCACAGTGGGCTGGCACATCAGCCTGCAGGCACCACTGCAGGACCCTCAGGGAAACCAGTGGTTTCTCTGCATGTGGGATGGTACTGGTTTACCATGGCATACTCAATCTGTAGAAACTCTGTCCCCTCTGAACTCTTGTTCCTCCTTTGGCTACTTGTCCTTGCTGCAGTGTTGTAAGGAAACACCCAGTTAGGGACAGACCTTGTCTGTCACTGTGTATTCCCTGTGCTTGAGAAAACTGGTTGCTCATGTTTCATAAAGCCTCTAAAGGTGAGAATATCCAGAGATTACCTCAATTCCCTGCACAGTGTGAGAGCATCTCTTCTTTGGACAGCTGAAGCAGACTAATTCTTGGAATGGAATCTGGAAAAGGAGCTGCACAGGTTGCAGTGTATAAGGAGGTCGGACAGGGGTGAGCTCAGACCTCTGCATTTTGCTTCTCAGTGAAGGTTACATTTTGCTTTGTAATCAACCACAAGTACCTTAGTATCCAAAAAAAAGAAAATAAAAGGCTTTAAAACCCTGCTTGGCAACAAGGTTACCCGAATGCTTCCTGGCTGCTTATGCCAGGGATTGTTCCTCTCCGTGCTCCTTCCAAGCCAGCTCCAAAGGCAGAGTCACTCCAGTGCAGGAGAGCAGAGCATCCTCATTTCCTCCATTCAGCATAATTCCTGAGCTCTGCAGAATGCAGTGTCCTTCCCATGGTACAACAATCACTTCAGACTTACACTATTAGCTGGAAGCAAAGTCACGCTGACAGCTCCAAGCTTCAGTGCACAGAGCACTCAGGTTACTATGAGTTTAGGCCTATGGACAGTGGTTAAAGGATCTTTTAGCAATTATTCCTCAACTTTTTCTCCAGAGTTTCCTTAAACCATCCTAAACCATCTCTGCAGTTCAAGCAGAGTGGGTGCTGCTCTGCAGTGCCTTGGGCTGTGTGTGCTGCACACAGTGAGGCTCACACTGACCCCCAGACAGAGCTGTAACCCCAACCAGATCACATGAATGATGATGCTGTTGTCTAATTGCTATTTATTTTAGTCATTCCTCATCTCCCCACAGGCATTATGTGAAAAATGCATTCCACATCAACCTAAACTTCTCCATCTGCTGGACTGGACTTAAAAGGAGTGAAGAAATGAGTGTAAACCAATCTCCCCAGCAAATACCAGCTGGGGAGCACTGGCTGCACAGGCAGGTGCACGTCGAGATAACATTTCTGGCATCTATTTAAACTTAACAATGTGCACAAGCAGATAAGCTCAATGTAAATAATCCACCCTGGGTGGCTGCTGCAGGCTTGGGTGCTTTGGGGTTGCTGCTGTGTGGAAAATAAACTACTTCTGGAGGTTCTTTACAAACACTTTCCCTGTTGTTGGGGATGTATCTGTCACCCACAGGGAGGTTTCCTCTAAAGCCAACCAAGACACAGCACGGAAAGGCCTCAGCTTCAAGCCCAGTGTTAACACACAGCTCTGCTAACTTTTTAGGTGAACACTTTTAGTTTTGCTATGTAATGATGTAGAATTGTTTTATATAAAGCAGTTGCTTTGCTCTTTCCTTCTCCTCCAACCCACCTCTCCAGCCTAGTGCAGCCCTCACATCTCAGATCCTTGTGTTAGGTTGAAAAAGGGCAGCAGAACGATTTATAACTACTTTGTAGAGAAAGTTCAACATAAGCACATCCAACAATGTACTTTTTAAAGTCCTGGTGCTCAAATAAACTGATTTTCACAAAACTCTGATGCCCAGAATGATCATGTGTTACACACACACACACGTGCTCAAGGTTTGGGGGCTTATCATTAATAAAAATGCCTTAGCACCTCAGTGCCTGTGCAGGCTGACTGGGAATAACATTAGCAATGGTTTGAAGGAAGCTGGGGCAGTTACTCTGATTTCCACACTGCTCTCAGTCAGGCTTTCAGCGCTGTGGGACACGTAAGGTGCACCAGCCTGTTGGTTTGTAGGGTGAGAGGAGGATCCCTGAACCAGCAAGAGTTCCTGTAACCTGACTGTAACCTCTGGAGCTGGGAATGAAGTAATTATTGATCTCAAAACTGACTGTGCTGCTCTAAATCCTGAGGAGTCTTGGAAGAACAAAATAAAACTGTACAGGAAGTAACAGTGAAAGTGATGATAGACACTGAGTTACAGCATAACTTACACCAGAGCAATTATCAAATAGCATTAAATTTGGTACCGAGTCGTTTTTTAGGGCAATAAAGTTGCACACTGAGCCTGTGCTGCACATACCCCTCACACATGCCTCAGCTATTTAGGCAGTTACTGTGTCTTTGACCTCCTGCTGTAGCAGACTTTAGCCTCTCGAAGCAGCTGGGGCTGTTAAGAACCATTTCCAGTTCCACACAAGGTGGATCGGGTGACTCTCACTTTATCACCCCCCCCCGAGGCCATCTCAAGGACAAAGAAAAGGGATACACTCAAAACTAATGTTTGGCTATGGG